TATATATATATATATATATAGTTATATATATATATATAGTTATATATATATATATATGTATATATAGTTATATTAGATATATCAATTTGCAGCGCACGCATACGGGTCATCTGCAATTGCAAAAGCACGTGCACGATATAAGTATTTACTTATATGTGCACGTGCTTTTTTGTGTTGGATGGGAATGACTAGGAACAAACCACGTACACGTGATATTAATCACTCTTGTGACCGAGGATATGAATGTCCACGCCTACTGGTACTGCGTATTGTCTGAAGCTTTACCAAAATTATATTGTTATATTTAATAAATCAATTGATATATGTGTAACATACAGTTAGAAAACATAACACGTAGATTATGTGCGTGTATAGTGTGCTACCTTGTGAAACGACAGTACGATACCGTAGCAATTGTTGCACGTGCAATAAAATTCACGAGATTTTTATAAATATCTACAGGTAGAATCTAAATCATCAATTATAATTATATTATATGTATTGTACATAAAAACATTAAATATTGAAGATCCAATACTTGTAGCCTTTGTCATTGCTTGTTGAGTTTTTCTTTCGCCGATTAATTTACATAAATTATAATATTGTTCATAGATATTTTAGTGTTTGTGTTTTGTTTTTCATTTAGAAACAGATAAAACGATTCCGCCTTTCATTGATGCGGAAAATAATTTTATAAAGTGAAACCTGATAAGCAAGGCTTGCACTAGACCTTTCAGTTTGAACAAACCAACATAGTATAGGTCTAGTTTCTGTATTTCGATTGATGGAACGGCATAAACTATATATGTATAGCAGGAGAAAACATTAGTTGAGAATTGAGATTGGCTGTTCCTCTTGGCAGGACTGTAGTCTAATCGATGCAGTTTTTTGCCGGATCATTAGCTAACTGCGTTTTGGTAATTTAGATGTGGATCGATAACAGTTAATGGTATTCGAAGAGCGTGAAAGCTAGGTACATCAACCAGAGTGCTACTTTGCGCTGGCCTAGAGTGATCATTTTGCGCCTGGGAGCTTCGCTTGGTTAGCCAATGCAAGTAAGTCGATTTGTTAAATTTTGATCGTCGATGTTCAAGTAGAAATAGTTAGCTTAGATTAGCTCTTATCTGCGTATCTTATTGTGGAGCTTCTTTATCGACGGATTTTTAATTTTTGGTCAGGCTTTTCAAACAGTTACGGATCAACAAACACAAGAGTTACGTATGATATGCATTTAAAAAAATGCAGATATTGATATAAGTATAATGTTAATAAATATATGCATATGTTATAATACATGTTCTTAATTTAAAAGCAAGATTGTCATTCTGTATTTTGCCGATAAAATAATTAGGTTTAGAATTTGTGATTCAATGCGATAAATCACAGCTTTTAACTAATCGAGAATTATTATATTGAAATGTTTTGTAATATATTTTATGTGTCGTGGCTACTCAAAAAAAAAATAAATGTGTTGCCATTATATGGGGTGGGATTAACATATCCTTAATAAATGTGTCGTAATTACCATGGTTAACATATTGTTCCTGTAATTGTGGATTATGGGTTTTATTTCATCATAACAATTATATATATATATATATATATATATATATATATATACAACTCTGTGTATGCATTTGCATACACCTATAATTCATGTATATAATGCATTATATATATAATGTATATGTATATATGTATGTCAACAAAGAAAGGTAAATATAGTGTTCGAATAAAGGACTATAAATAAATATAGGCCTAAACATTGTGTAGATACAGTGATCGAAGAAAGGACATGAAGGCATAGGCCTAGCTCTCAACGAATGTTGTCTTATAAATAAATAAATAAATACATTGTGTAATAAAATGCCACTGACGGGATTATTATTATTATTATTATTATTATTAATCGCTATGTCCTTTTTTTAATATGTAAAATTTCTTTAAGAAATATTTTAAAAATCGAAAAAAGGGATTAAAATTCAAAGATAAAAGGGTTAAAAATTTTAAAATACACAGAAACGAGGTAATGATTTAAGAACGGTAAAAAATATGTTAACAGTTAATAAAAACATCAGTATTGAGATGTATCGGAACAAATAAATATATATATATATACCGTACATACATATACATACATACATAGGGCCTATATATATATATATATATTTGTAATAAGTAATAATAAATATAATAATATAATTGTGTTCAGGCAAGGCAATTAAACATCAGAAAACAAAACGCAAAATCAAGCAAAGCACATGCCTGGACGTGTATTGCATTAAAAGAGGCTCTCCACAGTAGTAATAATAACCTGAATATATTGTCATGAATCAGTATTTTTTTTTCCGAAATACAATCGTTATTGAATGGCTAGGCCAAATTATATTTCTAGAAGTTCGTTTAAGAAACCTAGGTAGGTTCGTATGCCGACGTAGTTTCAATCTCCTGGTTTAAGTCAGGACAGTTATTTGCAGTTGATATGGCGGACGTACGCATGCGCGATTATCCCCGCGGTGGCAATTACACTGATCGTGACCGTGATTCTATAAACATGCTTAAATAGTTGTGTCTGAATATTTATATAGGCCTATAGTAATATCGTAGAGCAGATAATATCGTTGTGACTCGGCCGCACATCCTTTCTAAGCAATTTATCACGTGACGGATTGTATTACTGATGACGTAAGCTTTTTGGCTCAAGTAAACACTGATTTACGGAACGAAATATTTTTGAAATGAAATATTGATGTCAGATTTGTTGAATCAATTCTGACAAGTGAATAATGCATAAATTGACAAATGCATTATATCATATCTTGAAAATGTATAAACTCTGTTTTGGCTTTAGCCTTCCTGATATTTATTAATAAATAATAATAATAATAATAATAATAATAATAATAATAATAATAATAATAATAATAATAATTATTATTATTATTATTATCCAAATTTATTCAATAACTTCTGAGATTGAGGACATACAAAATGCAATATACATCAAAATATAATACAAAGAATAAGGAAACGGCAAAAATTCAATAAAATTATTCTCATAAATCAGCGAGGTATGAATTAATGCAATATAATGAAAACCTTTTAAGTTTTGTATAACAAATAATGAAAAACAATATTAGCGATTAGAATAATGATGATGATAATAATAATAATAATAAAAATAATAATAATAATGTTATCATTATTGATAAATAGGCCTACAGTTGATAAAATAAGATAAACTAGACTTATCCAAGACATGATATTACCTTACGATATTTAAAAAATGTAATAATAATTATACTGAGCTTAGATCAACTAAGATGGTTTTTTTTCTAGGATAAGTGAAGCCTAGTTGCCCCGTTGATCTAACCAGCCTCCATAGATCCATGTTTGGTTAAAAAAATAATGTTAAAAAATATACAACTACTGATAGTAGGCCCCAAACCCAGGTCGGGGAGGCAGTTCCCCACCCCGTCAGGGAGAAAAACCACAATTCGTCGTGGAGGAAAAAAAATTTAAAAAAATTATATGTATTTTGTACATATTAAGAGACTCTAAAATCGATTTAATAAGCCTTTGAAAATGAAACCCCTAAATTGTCATATTTTCGGGGGGCTACGTCCCCTGGACCACTTTCGAAAGGTTTTAGCGCCGCCCGACCACGGCCAATTTTTCTCGTCGGGGACATCAGCCCCCTCCTCCGCCCCCGGTTGGGGACCATGGACCCCAGTAAGACGGGAGTCTAGACCACCTGAGCCCCACCATGGTTGGGACTGAGGTAAGAACACGATTATAACGCCTTTAGATGGCCGGAAATGGCACTCTGACCTGAATTTGATCATAATTTTCCATTTTTTCATATTTAGGGGGCCCGGGCCGGCTCGGTCCTCCCTTGAATCCGCCACTAGATTGTTAGAGTAATCATACTTACTGGACACAGAAACAATATGTGAGCGCATCTTGTGCCTAGGGCGAATTAAAGTGTTTGCCTTCGTCTGTGAAAAACAAACCATCGTATCGATAATATCAAGTACATAAAGGTTAAATGATAATTATTGTTATTTTATTAAGCGCCACCAACGTCTGATTAAGTTATCATAATATAGCACCGAGGTTTACTATAAAAATTATTTGGATATCATATCGTTAATACTGAATTGTGCATAAAGGTAAAGTAATAATTATCTTTATTAAGTAAGCGCCGCCAGCGTCTGGTTTAGTGTAGAAACGCGACCGTGTCCCTAAAGCCGGGCAGTCACTGCGTCGTACGACGGTCGTAGAACCGTCGCACGACGAATCCAATTCCGCTACCTGTGAGCGCTAGATGACGCGACGCCGTCTGCTGATTGTCTGTAAACGATCCGTTGAGCGTGCGTCATCACGTTGCTTTTCTTATAGAATCGCGTCGGCCGACGACCGTCGGGCGCAGTGAGTGCCCGGCTTTACATATCGCATCAGCTGCGTGCTGACAAGAAGCGTATTTACACCAGTGTATGTATATGCAACTTTCCAATATACTGTACACACGTTTAGTGTCATTAATGAAGCAATAGAGTTTGATGACACAGCTTTCATGAACCATACTGTAATCAGCACAGATTCTTACATTTTTAGGAGAGAACTAGGCCTACTTTATAACACTTCTGGATTTTAAAGTGTAGATGATGATGACTGAGCTGCGAGTTGCTAATGGGATTGTTGTTGAGACGACACACGACGAATGTAAGAGGATGCCATTGGTTGATGGTGGTAGTGGGAAAGATGATAATTTTAATGAAAAGGATGATCATGATGGTGGTGGTTGTGGGGATGATGGTGATTATAATGTCGGTAGTGGTGATAAGTGATAATGTTGATGGTGAATGCATGTGGTGTTGGTGGATTGTTGTGGTAATGGTGGTGGCGATGATGATGTGGCAACCTGTATGATGAAGATGATGACTTTGATGAAGATGATGATACTGATGATGATGATAATGCAGTGATGATGATAATGATGGTGATGACGACGATAATGAGGATATTGATGGTAGTGGTGATGATGTTTGTGGTGGTAATGATCGAGATGATGATGCGGTAATCGGGATGATAAAGATGATGACGTTGATGGTCACACTGGACTCGCAATATAAAATCATACGTTACTGCCACATAAAATTTAACGAAAAACCCAAAATTTTTATGAAATATTTGAATTGTTTCTTATTTAAAAGAACTACATAAGATAGGTAAAATCAATTATTTACGGACGTTTTACTGCAAAAATCATTAAATATGCGACTAAAACGTTAATATGTAATGGATATATTTTAAGTTTCCGTTAGTTGGCTAGAATAAAAAAAATGTCTTACTCCATTCTCATTTGAAGTTAATAGTTAATTGAAATACACACAGACTAAGCCATTCAATTTATAAAATATTTTCAAGTTCATATTAGATATATATGGCTGTATATCTTATAATGCGATAATAGATTGTCACTAATACCTTGTACCTAACTTCTGCGTTAAATTAATTTAGCGGTAAAGAAAGTGATAAATATTCAGAGAGAAGAGCGGTAATGATGGTGATAAATATCGTATAATCGTAGCAATGAATTACGGACTCTTGGTCTTACGTTGTCAAAGAACAGATTCCGTACTAAAGCGATAATGGTAATGGACGTAGTGCGCTTTAATATATCCTATTTTTAAAATACTGCTTTATTGGTTAAATTTATCACATATTAGTCATGTTTTTTTTATCAAATTTAATTGTCAAAATCAATGAAAAACTTCTCAGTTCCTCATTCTTCTATATCATCGTCGTCTGATTTATATTTCCCTTTATACTAATTAAAAATATTTAAATTGTTAAAATTATTATCATTAGAGAAAATTATTATTATTATTATTATTATTATTACATGTATTATTATTATTATTTTTATTATTATTAATATTATTAATATCATCATCATCGTAATCATGAAATTAATTATCATCACCATAATTATGATCATCTTCATCATCAGCATGTTCGTCACTATCATTGGCATCATATATCATCCTCATTCGTCATCATTCGTCATTATTATAATCATCGTCATCGTCATCATCATCCTCGTCATCATCATCATCCCCATCATCACCATCCTCTCATTCCTCAATGTTCTACCTCTACCTCCTATAGGAAGACTTGTGTACACGATAAGAAAAATCCCTCACTCTAATATTGTCTCCTCTCCTCATCTCTCTCCTCTGTCATTACATCTCTCTACCCTCATCCTCTCACTATTCCTTTCATCATCCATCTCTTCAAATCATCTCTATTCTATATTTGACATACGTCATAATTTTCTTTCCTTTCCTAACCCTTCCATAATTATCTCCTTCTTTAATCCCTTTCGTAATATAATCAACATCGTCAGTTTAGCCTTAGCCAACAAATTTTTTGTCGCATCATCTTTATGAGTCCGATTTCAATCTCATTTCGACTGATTAGTGTTCATCCGAGCAGGCAGGGTGGCGCTATCATTAATAGACAAGATTACAAAGATACTACGCGTTGAAAACCATTCCTAAGTCTGTCCCTCAACGCAACGAAAGTGTTTGGGTGCTACGCGGTGTGTTTTGGTAGGACACAAGGTAGGCTTATAAGTGACGATTTACAGAATATATTCAGTTGTAGCACAGTCATGTTTGAATAGTAGCTTTTTTGTTGAGTTAGGACTGTTTCCCATCTGTGATCTACATGTCCACATCGTTGGCCCAATTTCCCATACTTCCTGTGCTGCAACTTTAAGATTTAAACCATAGTTCTATTTTTTTGAACGATATGTTGATAATGTAAGACTAATTTATTTAATTCATTGCTAAATATTTTATTTTATTCTTAAACTCATTCATTAGTTTTAGAAAGCTTAATGCGTAACTTATGCGATTTAAATTTATGTAGGGATATCTGCCATTTCCCTTATGTATAGCCCAACAGCATATATGCCTAAGCACGGACGTAATTTCTAAATTACAAATTTAATTAATAGTATATGACTATCAATAATTATATAATTATCATATATTCATGCAAATAAGAAAAATAATATGTCGTCGAAATGTTTTTAAAAAAGTATAATATTAAAGGGGTATGGAAACCTTTTAATCATTGAATTTTATGCCCTAATTAAGCCGATAACACACCTTTTAAAACATATGTTGTTGTCATATGTACGTCCAAATAAACAATTTTATTATTATTATTGTAAAACGCTGTAAATTCATTAATTAGATGGCAAATTAGTGCAGCGGTATAGGAATGGTGCGAGAGAGATCGAGATCTAAACCTACCAATGTCATGTTGTCATTTGGTAAGGTCTAGATCTAGGTCTAATTCCCTCGTCTTTCGGAAGGGTAGTTAAGCCGTTAGCCCCGTTACGTTCAGTGACGTAACACTAGGGCCTGGGGCCCTGTGGCTTTCTGGGACTGGGGATCCTTTTTTGGTCCCGGTCGCCAATTTCATTGTGGTGTTTGGATGTGTGTTTTTAATCACGTTTGCCATTTAATTTACTATAATTGTTTTGAACGACAAAAAAAAAATGATAATATGATATCAGTATCGTATCTAGTAGGAACTTGAAATAGAGGGGTCCAGGGAGAGACTTTCACAGATGGGGCTGAGGGCACCTCTAGATGGCCGGAAATGACACTCACAGACCTTGAATACCATTCTATTTTATCTTTATTTTAACAAATTTGACAAGGGGCCCCTTAATCCGTCACTTGGTAGAAAATGATACACGTCCTACGGTTGATGTCAGAGACACATTATTCTGCTATGTTTCAACAAAGCTCTTTTGTGTCAGGGTGCTAGATCGGGGATCCTATGGGTAGGGGCCCGGGGCCCCTAGGAGCCAGGGACCCTGTGGACCGCCGCACAAGAGCGCATAGGCGTTACGCCACTGGTCACGTTTGCATAACAAACTCAGTTTTTCGAAAAGAGAGGATTTGTTTTTCCAGTATACTCATAGATGCTACACTGCAGCTGCCGTGGGTCGCTAGATGCCTGACACAAATGTCCTTTCTGATTTCCAACAAGAAACATATGTATGCAAATACGTTCACTTTTTACATTTCATTGTTTAAAATTGTAAGTACAGTTATGAAGCAGGAAATTAGGGAATCCCTGTGAAACAGTATTTGTAGATACTGTAAATGATGGGCGAACATAAAATGTGACCAGTTTTACACTGAACTTTCCGGTTCTAAATTTAGTAATTAGGCCTTTGCTAAATACGCAACATTCTGATTCAGAAAATCCAGGGTTGTCTCATTAAAATAATTGATTTTTTTTATCACATACATCCTGTATGCTCACAGTTGTTTCCTGTTCAATTTATCGACGTACTCTTGTGTTTACTTGCCCATATTCACTTTACAAAAACTGTTTACAATTTACGGATGAATATCGTTCACTTTATCGATATTAAAGGGAGCTTTCGATTTGCGCGAAAACATGACCCTAAAACGCATTCACTTCACTTATCCTGTCCTGCGTTCTCCTCGCAACGCGTAGATTCAGGCCAAATCAGACGACAAAAGTCACATGTACAGATGTTGTTTCTGTGGCGTTATTGTGTCAAAGATCTTCCCTACTGCTATGCGCACTACAATCCTAAAACGTTGCCCAGTGGACATTTGCTGTGTTATAGAATGTAAGTCTGCTGAAACAATGCCTAACATAACATATAACGGAAAATGCTTTTAAAACTGTTTACAATAATGCACGACATACACAAAGTACCCTGCTCAGGCCCGGTACCCAAACCAAATACTACATATATCCAGACTTTTACCCAGTGAGTGCTGTCACCACTCCCCAACAACCCACTTTCCACTTACCAATTCTTCACAATTCATATGCAAGACTGCTTTTGCAAAGGTTTGAAGGTTTTTACCTTTGCTTCGAAAGGTATACATTTTTTTTTCTTTTGCAGATTTTCTTTAACCAATCACAAGATGTCTTTCAAAATCCAGTTCCTCGCATTGGTTGTCACTAGCATGTACACGACAACTAATACAGCGTCTTTTAACCGGAAACTGGAGATCAAAACAAATAGTGGCTCTACCATACGAGGTTTTGAAAAGTTAGTGAAGCTTGAAGAAACACAGACTATATATACTTACTTAGGCATTCCATATGCAGAGCCTCCAGTTGGCAAGGATAGGTTCATGCCCCCAAAACCACGCCGTGTGAACAGACAGGAAATAATAAACGCCACAGAATTCGGTTACAGTTGCTACCAGTTAATAGACGACACATTCCCAAACTTCAGCGGAGCCGAAATGTGGAACCCGAAGACAAACCTTAGTGAGGATTGTCTGACGTTGAATATCTGGGTCCCAGAGAAAGGGCCTGAGAAAGGCCTTAAGGCAGTAATGGTGTGGATCTATGGTGGAGGATTCGTGACTGGAGCTACTGCCATTGATGTCTATGACGGTGCTATTCTGGCTGCGTCTGAAGGCGTTGTCGTCGTATCAATAAATTATCGTGTGGGGGCGCTTGGATTCTTAGCTTTGAATGATAGCATTCCTGGCAACAATGGCCTCTTGGACCAAAAACTTGCCTTAGACTGGATATACGATAATATCCAAACGTTTGGAGGGGATAGATCTAAGATAACCATATTTGGAGAGAGTGCAGGAGCTGTCAGTGTTGGTCTACATATGTTGTCAAACATGAGTAATTCGCGTTTCAAGCACGCGATCATGCAGAGTGGATCACCCACAACTCCTTGGGCAATTCTGTCCAAAGACGTGGCTTATGAGCGCGGGATGAAGTTAGCCAAAGAAGTTAACTGCTATTACCGCGAAAATGGTAATAAAAATAATTTAACGGAAGTGATAAAATGTCTGCGAGACGTCAACGCCAGCCATATAGTTAAAAATGAATGGGTAGCAGCTGGTGTTTATGTGTTTCCTTTTGGGCCTGTTGTAGATGGAACCTTTTTAACAGATCATCCGACAGAGCTGCTTAAGAAAGGCTCGGTAAAATCAACCTCAATCATGATAGGGACGAACTTAAACGAAGCTTCGTATTACCTGGTTTATTTTATAGACAAATATTTTAAAAAAGACAAGCCAAGTGGCATTAATGAAACTCAATTCAGAGACATTATAAAAATGGAACTCCCACAAGCAAACCCATTCGAAATAGATGCTATTTCCTTCCAGTACACCGACTGGTCAAACGCTGGAAGCCAAGAAATGTACCGCGACGCAACAGACGAATGGATAGGAGATTACAACATAAAATGTCCTGTATATAACTTTGGTCTTGATTACGCCGCCCATGATAACTCTAAGGTACACGCGTACTACTTTACACAGCGGCCTAAAAATAGCCCATGGCACGAATGGATGGGCGCCATTCATGGTGAGGAAATTGCCTTTGTGTTTGGTCAACCGTTACAAGATGGCCAGAATTTCACTGAAGAGGAAAAGGGACTTAGTAAAAAGATGATGAAACTATGGGCAACCTTTGCAAAGAGCGGGTAAGTACATAAATATTAAACAATTTACAGTAACAAACAATAAACAGTAAACAGAATGGGAAAAAAAAACCACCACACAACATTGTATATTTACGAACGCTGTTGCCCCGATCTTCCTTCCATTGTTTTATTTCCTATACCATATTGCAAAAAAAAAAAAAAAAAAAAAAAAAAAAAAAAAAAAAAAAAAATAATAATAATAAAATAAAATAAAAATGATAAATGCTCTCTGGAAGCTTGTTTTATTTTAAATTATATTATAGCTTGAAATATTTTTTTGGATCCAAGTATTGGATATTTGATCAAAAAAAATGAAATCAAGAAAAAAATTAATAGGCCAATATATATAATGTGTACAGTATATATGTAAAGATGATAATAAATATTTTAGGAAAACAAGAGCAGCCACCCTATAGGCAAGCGGCATATTACTACACCACAGGTATTAATATTAACATAACGCAGATACAATTTAGCAAGAAAACCTTTTCAAATTATTTTACACTCTCATAAAATGAGGAAGAGGGACCGTAAGGTACATGTTTGAAAATTAGAGGTGCTGACATGTTGCCTTCAAGAATTTAGAAGAAATCTGATTCACCGTCAGGAGAAAAAGCATATATTTTGTGTCTTTTTAAAAGTTGTTTCTACGAAAACCCAGATAGGATATGGTAAAAAATACATAAAAAATATTACGTTTGTACGTAATATTATCCCGTACGTACGTGTCAATCATTTTGGTATTATGCTTCTAGGATTTACATAACCTAAATTGGTGGCTTTGCTGACAAAATGCGAGAACCACTGATAAATGTGTAGTATTTTCTACTTCAGTTAGTCTGTGGAGAGTTGTGCTAAAGTGTATCTTTTTTGTCGAAACCCATTTTGATTTATTTGGGGAATATGGCGACTAATTTTGCATAAGTGCATCATTTTGTAGAACTTGACTGCAATATTACTGATTATCTTATTCCGGGATAATTTCTGGTCTAATAATTTTGAGAAGTGATAAAAGAAAACTTTAGTCTGATGATCGCTTCTTTCCGTGGCAGGTTTTGATGCAGGATCATGTGCATATATTATATGAAAATATATAAATTCAATTTCTGTATTAAAAAACAATGGCTATTGAACTTCTTAAAAATTATTTATTTTTATTAAATTTAATCAATACTCTTTCCTAACAAATAGCACGAATATACATTTCAGAAATTTCTTGACCGTAACAAAGACGTAGAATTGTAGAGTATGTATTGTGAAGCTGCAAATTGCTGGCTACGGTATTAGCGTTGTCTTGGTAATTTATCAAGTTGCTAGAGAATAAACGTGCAGTGTTATTTTGTTTATTGTTAAAGAAAATCAAAATGAATAGAACTAAAATTGCAATCGATGACCTTACAAAAAACTATTGAACTACAAGTAATATTACCGTGATTATTTAATCATTTAAAAAATTTTTCTTTGCCAGTCAATATATAATTCCCCTTTACGATATAGGCTTAATATCACTTCTATACATATTAAAGTATGTATAAATTTGAGTTCTACATATTATGCCTTTTACAATCATACAATCGATAGATCGTCTCAAGGCACGGTAAAAATAATTAAGTATTTAGTATTCAGTATAATATTTTGTCATTTGTAAAAACATTATACATAGAAATACAATATAGCAA